CGTGGTGAATTAAGTGAGATAAGAGGTTGGATGTGAAATATTTAATTTTTGGTCACTTATACCAGTTTAACTGAAGAGATCCTGTGTTTAATAAACTTCTTGCATTAAAAAACCTACAAGTAGGAAATATTTTTTTCTTGTTCTTTTCTTTGGGGCTTCAGTCTTCTGTAAACACATTGTTTCTGGCTTGTAGGCAAGAAAAATATGTGTACTTCCCATATTTATTTTGTCATACAAACAGAAGCATTTTGAAATGGAACTATTCATCTGAAAAGATGTTTGCCCTCTGGAGGAGGATTTTACAAACCCTCTGTTTCCAGTAATAACATGGAAACCTAGCCTAACTAAGCAGCAATTCGTAACTATATTTGATTGATCTTTGGACCTTTGAATAGAATATAGCTGGAAGGGACCTTGGAGGTCTTCTAGTCCAGCCCCCTGTTTGAGCAGGAGAACCTATACCAGTGATGGCGAACCTTTTAGAGACCGAGTGCCCAAACTGCAACCCAAAACCCACTTATGCATCGTCGGGTGCTGGGTGGGTGTGGCCCATTTGGTGGGTATGGCCCATTGGGTGGGCGTGGCTGCAGTGGTAACGACAGACTGGGTGGGACTAAAAAGTTCAATCAATCAATTCCAACTTTGCGAGATCTTTTTTTTCCCTGCAATAAGTTGAAATTGATTGATTGATTGAACCTTTTTTTGTGTGTACACGGCGGCGGAGGCCTAAAGCGAAAAGGTTTTATAAAACCCAGCTGACGGCCTAGGACTGGGGCGACGACGCGCGTGCCCACAGAGAGGGCTCTGAGTGCCGCCTCTGGCACCCGTGCCATAGGTTCGCCACCACTGACCTATACCATTTCAGACAAGTGATTGTCTAGTCTCTTCTTAAAAAATTCTAGTGATGGAGCGCCCACGATTTCTGAAGGCAAGCTCTTCCACTGGTTAATTGTCCTCACTGTTAGGAAGTTTCTCCTTAATTCTAGGTTGCTTCTCTCTTTGTTCAATTTCCAACCATTGTTTCTTGTCTTGTCCTCTGGTGCCTTAGAGAATAATTTGACACCCTCTTCTTTGTGGCAGCCCCTCAAATACTGGAATACTGCTATCATGTCTCCCCTATTTCTTCTTTTCTTTAGACTAGCCAAACCCAAGTCCTGCAGCTGTTCTTCAAATGTTTTAGTTTCCAGGCCTTTGATCATTTTAGTTGCTCTTTTCTGAACTTTTTCCAAAGTCTCAACATCTTTCACCAGGAATTATCAGGAAATTTATATTTATATTCCCAATGATTGAATGGTCATTGAGATGTGCCTGCTCATCACCATAGTACTATATCTCTTTGGTTCTTTATGTACACCTGATGGCATGCAGACATCCAGACAGGTTCTGTATTATCATCACTTAGTGCTTTGCTAATAAATTGCTGGGCATAGAAGATGCTTTAGATCAGTGTTTCTCAACCTTGACAATGTTAAGGCATGTGGACTTCAATTCCCAGAGGCTGTGGAATTCTGGGAGTTGAAGTCCACATGCCTTAACATTGTCAAGGTTGAGAAACACTGCTTTAGATTCTCATTGGATATGGTGCTCATAGAGAAGGGAGAGCAACAAATACAGAGTTGGCAAAAAGGAGAAGTGTTTTTCCCTGTGACTTGAGAAGTAGCTGAAGTGTTACACTAGGTTGAATATTGTTCTCAAGATTTTGATTTCTGTAAAAAGGACACGTAGTCTCCTCCAGCACCTCCCTGAAGTAGAATAACCATTCCAATAATATAAGCAGAGAAAGAAAGCCCATTTATCAGACAAAGACATTTTGATAAGTAGCAATATCTCTGGTGGCTTGTGCTTGGCCCCCAATTGTCAATCTTTTCATTTCTCCTTCTAGCCATTTTAGATGCTGTTTTTTGCACTTAGTTTTTTTTGTTTTGTTTCTCCAGCTAGTTTATGTGTTTCTGCTTGGAATAAAGGACCAATATATATTTTTTTAAAAATCTATAATTCTATATTGGAAGCTGCACTTTGTCTGGCCTTTGAAAGTTCTTGGCTATGTGCAATTTGAATTCCCAGTTAACTGATTTTGTGACTTAAGATCTTTTGTCCTAAGAGCCTGGCAACCTTTTACAACCTTCCTACCTAAGATAGAATAAATTGCTATAAAGATGGAGATTGTTTAGCTAATGTTCCTCAATGTACAACATGAATAATGAGTAACAACATGAATAACAATCACAAGATTGCATCCCAGGCACCAAAGTAGGCATATACTTTCTTGAAGTGCAACAAAATTGGACATAGTAGATGTATTGCCATTGAGTGAAGAACAAAGGAGAAATTGGGGCAGTGGTAGGAGACATTTTGAGAAAAGACTAAAATCTTTTACCTGCCACCTTTCCACCAGTAGATTAGGATTAATATTTTGCTATCTTTTTTATTCACTTATTTCTCTCTCTCTGAATAGTTAAATGTGAATGTTCAATGGTGTTTTGAATGTATGTAAACCATAGTGTATTGTAGTGAGATGATACTATGTTAATGTCGAAAATAAATAATGCCATATGTGATCTATCTTCTCTAATTTTAGCTAATGAAAAACCTGGCCTCAAAGTACTTGTGGATGAACTGTAAGAAATTGTATTTTTAGCACTTAGTTTTTTCCCCTGTTACAATGCAAAATGCAACGTTGGAGGACTGAAAAAAAAAACCATGTGGAAACTAATTCTGTAAAATGAGAAAATGTGTTCAGAAGGAAATGCCCAAGTTTGTCTTTATCCAAACTTGATATCTGAATATCAAAAAGTGTGGACTTGAGATACTGCTCTGTGCAAAAATCTCCCAAAACAAAACAAAAGACTTTCCTGTAAATGGCCCTTTCACAGTTGTTTAAATTTCTTAATTGAGCAGATTAAAATCACATGAACCCTCTTCCCCAATTGGTCATTGGTTTTTGTGTGCATGTTTCCAAAAAGTAAATGAAAGCCACAATAAAGGATAACCACAATAACAATAATTCAGGTAGGCTTTATATCCCTTAAATCATGGTTGGCTAATGCTATGAAGTTATTGTAATTCAGTTAGAACAGTTAGAACAATTAATCAGTGGAACAACCTGCCTCCAGAAGCTGTGAATGCCCCAACATTGGAAGTTTTTAAGAAGAGACTGGACAGCCATTTATCTGAAATGGTATGTTTCCTGCCTGAGCAGAGGATTGGACTAGATGACCTCCAAGGTCCCTTCCAACATCATCATCATCAGCAGCAGCAGCATAGAACTGAATTCTGTTTCTGTCAACTGTCTCTGGCTTTGATATGAGTGGCAAAGCGATGGCAGAACAGATTTAATGCAAGGTCTGCCATTTCTCTCTAGGTTTATTGTTTTTTCATTTTTTGTTAATAATTTTATTGACACATTTAATAAGCACAGTAAAAACTAATACAAACTAAACTAGAAGAAAAGAGAAAAGGAAAAGTACAGAAAAAAAGAAAAACAGAAAAGAAAAAAGCAACAAAGAAAATAAGAAATAAATGGCTTCTAACGTTCATCACACTGAGTATACTATTTTTTTATCCTCTTTTGAAGCAGCAAATAAAAAAATATTTTCTCCCCATAGATTTTTATCTATACATAATTTAGAAATTATCATTTTTTTAATCCTAGTTCAGCAAAAAAACAATTAGGAGTTACCAGAAATATCAAATAGTTTATTTCTGATCAAATAATCAAACTTCATATTCCTTCTTTATGCTCTGCACAATCTTGACCTTTAAATTATTTCTGTGACACCCAGGATTTGATCTTTCATCATTCTTTAGCATTTAAAAGGAGTCTTTAAAGCTTTTATCAGATTACTTTGTAAATCCCATAAAGAGGCTTCATCCAGAATTTTTTGTTGCAGCTGTTCTATGTCAAGGTCCTTTTCTTGATTTGGCTTTCGTATTCCCATTTTAGTAATTTCAGTTTTGCTGTCTTCCATACCTTCAAACTCTACAATGTCTATGTCAGGTAAATTTTTTTAAAAGTTTTCTCACCATATGCTAAAAGTCAAAATCTCTATTCTTTCTGAGATATTAGTTATTAATATTTCAGTCCAGTTTAAAAAAACTTTTTAAAAATAAAACAAAGTTATACTGTAGCCAGCTTAGTCATTTTAATTCTTTTTTGCCTGGTTCATTAGTTCCCTCTAGTGTCCATTTGCAATATTCATAAAACTTCAGTTTCTAACAGGCTTAATTCCATTTCAGTCCATGAGTTTATTATTTAATTATATTTTTGCTTTGCAAGTCTTACAGCAAAAATAACCAATATTCCAAATCTCTCTGAACTCCCAATCTGTTTAAAACTTTCTTAAATCAAAATCCCTTTTTTGCCTTTGGCTAATTGCATATTATTTTAAATTCTTAAGTCTGCTTAAAATTTCTTAAATCTGAAGAAGGTAAAACTCACTATGTGTCAAATTAAGCTTGCTGTTTTGAAGGTCTCTAATATCCATAAAGTGGTTAAATTGAACATTTCCAAATGTATTTAGAAAGTGAGTTGGCTGGCTTTATATCCTTATGAAAGGCCCCAGCACTGTGGAGAACATGTTGTCTCCCCTAGCTTTTAGTGCTGATACCTGCAGGAGACTGTTTCATGATCTCCTCATGAGGCGTTGCCATTCAGAGCACTTGTGAGAATCTCCCAAATCTCTCTTTCTCCAGAGATTCAATGGACTGGTCTACTTGCTGATCTTTTCTTCTTCATGGTAGTCGTCACCTCCACTTGTTGTCAGTCAGCCATAACTCTCACTGGGAGGAGCTGCTTCATTGTCTTTTTATTATATTTTCACTAAGTGGACCAACTTGCACATCTTTGTGTGGCTTAAGAAAATTAATATATTCAATTATTGTAATTCTATCAATGTGAATATTTCCAATATAGATTCTGCATTTTTCCTTCACCAGGCCAGATTTAGGAAATCAAGAACCATATGCTTCTAATTGGTGTTACTGTATTTGTCTCTTTGCAGAAGCAGGACGAAGCTGAAGGTGAAGATGAATTGGAAATTGCTATTGACAACACTGCTTTCATGGACGAATTCTTTTCAGAGGTAAACATTGCCGAGAAAAGAAAAAGTAGCTCTGAAATTAAAGCTGGGGCTTCAGAATAATAAAAGTGTGGAACATTGTGAGATCTATTTAATTGTGCTGTGAAAGCTCTTACTGGAAGAGATGCAAAAACTTCAGAGATTCAAATAGAGTAATGCCGGAGGAACCATGGGCTGCAACTTACCTACTTAATCTTCCAGGGCCCACAAAAGGTCATTGCCAATCTGGCCCTCAAATTGTCTTTTTCCCCCCAGCTTGGAAAGCAGTTTATGAATTTTCAAGTGTGGGGGTGTAAACATTTTGACTCTCAGAGAGTTCTTCCTCCAATTTCTACTGCTAATTTTTTGGGGAAAATATTTAACATTATTTGGTTAGTTTAGCAGCCATTTTGCCACTGGATGTTGGTGGTACAATCTCACTGAGCAAATTGCTCAGTTCCAGCAGTCCTGATTGAAACAGAGGTGGCCAGTTCCAGCTTCTTTAGCACGTTGGGCAAAAGCCAGATTCACTTTTTTTCCTTATAACATGTTTAGCCTGTTTTTTTTGCCAAAAGTCTCCGGAGTGGAGTCCATACATTTAATGCAGCGAGAGTCAGAGAGAGTGTAATGCCCTCTCCATCAGCCTATCCGTAGTCTAGGAGAAAAATTAAAAGAGAGAATTGAACTTGGACACCAATTCTTAAATTTCAGTTGCAGGTCTTATATAATGTCCTGCTGGTTATTCAGGAAGAAGAGCCTTGGGAGAGCTATTTTATTTTAATCAGAGTTGGTAGAATGCTCCTAATTCCCATCTCATTTATTTTGCTAAATGGGAAGCTTTAGACAATGTATGCTCAATAGCCCTCTTACATTTCCTTGCTGTGGGCTTCTTGGAAGATCAGCAAGGGGCAGACAGACAGAGAAAGGGGGCAGGAAGCAATAAAGGAAGCAGTGCAACTTCCATCACTTGCTATTTTCTTTAGTCCAGTATTTAAAAAGGAGATACTGGGCAAAACAAACTATAGACACTGCTGCTGTTACCTTTCTTATCTCCAGTGCCTATGAAATAAAAAGATGAACCTGGAATCTTTATATAAAAAAAATGACTATGTCTGGTTTGGTCTAAAAAAGATTTAAGCTTAAAAGAGTTACTGGGGGGCCCCTCATGGTCCACGAGCACCATTTCCCCCACCATATCAACTGCTAATACTAGGTCTGCAAGTTACCTATGACAAAAAGTTAGGCTTAGAGTTAGGGTAGTTGAGTAGTTGTTGAGGATGATAATAATTATAACGATAGGGTGAGGCAAACTGTTGTGATGCTAGGAGCAATGAAGAGCATAGGTCTGAATTCTGCATTAGTGTTCATGAAGCCATAAAGAGTGAATGTGAACATAATCTTAAAAATATTGCCTTTAAACATATATGCCATTTGTATATATGAGTGTGGAGTAAATGGTCAGTCCCTAGTGCATATATATGTCTAGATTGGCCACCTGGGAAACTGATTCTACTGATAGATCAAAATACCTTACAAGAGAGCATCTTTCAGTTGTACGAACCAGAAGCAAAGCTCACACTTTTACTGACATTGCTGAAAATAATAGAACACTTTGACTGAATATTGATTTTTTTCCCCCAGCTTGTAGCTGGGATGGTGGGAGTAAATAGAAGATGAATTGCACTTTTGCTTGATGCAGAAAAAGGGGAAAGGTCTGCCTTGTTTTGTAAAATTTGCCCTTCAAATCATTGCCTGCAGAATGAGGCAAGAATATCATACAATTGCCTCCAATGATAAGAAAACACTCTCCGCCACTTGCATGATGGTCATTGCTGCTGCTATTGCTGTTTCTGTATGAATTCCTGTAATGAAAATGAGCTTTGAGCCTTCAACTGATTTGACGGAATTTGGTCTTCCCTTCTTGGCCTGTGGCAGTGATTCTTTCTCAGCATCTTTTCATAATTTGCAGATTGAAGAGACTCGGCAGAATATTGACAAAGTTTCAAAGAATGTAGAAGAGGCAAAAAAGCTGTACAGCATTATCCTGTCTGCTCCTATCCCTGAACCAAGTGAGTAGGATGCAGTGTTTTGAAAATTCTGAGCCTAAATCCTTCTCCCCAATTTTCTCTAAACATTATCTCTGTGTCAGGTAAAAGTAGAAAGATGGTTGCAGCTTCTGGAAAAAGCTAAATTCTTCGCCATCTTGAATGGATTCATCTAGACTGGTGTGTGTGTGTGTGTGTGTGTGTGTGTGTGTGGTGCAATGGAGAAATAATCTTTACTGCTATTCTCCTACTGGTATTAGAGGAAATCTATTTGTGTTCTGTAGAGACAAAGGATGACCTGGAGCAGCTGACAGCAGAAATCAAGAAAACGGCCAATGCTGTTCGAAACAAACTTAAAAGTAAGAGACCTCTTCCTGGAAGAGGCTGGGTTTGTTTTATTTGTATTGCTTAAACAATTACCAAATTTTATTTGTGTTGCTTAAATGTTTGCTGGTTGCTTAGCTGCCTTTACATGCCAGATGCGAATCCTGTGAGCATATAATGAATTCCATAGACATCTTCTCCAGTCTCTCTGCCCTCCACATGTGTGGAGCTGAAAGCCAATCACAGTGAAGGATGCCCACCTTCAGGAAAAGTTTTGTAGCCATTACATAAAGGGAGGGTACTGTTCCCTTTAAGTACCAAAATCAAATCCATGCTCAAAGCTATCACAATTAGGTTTGTTCTTCCTGCCTGAACAACCTATCACTCCAAATGCTAACAAGTGACTTAAGATTCACAAGAATACAGTACTAGAAGTCATATTGAAGAGCTTTTATTCTTCCCAGTTTAGCTCTGCATTTTGTTTCCTTTGTTTACACTATAGTACAATACTGTACTAGTGTCTATTCTAAAATTAGTATTTTTTTCTTAAGCCTTTCTTTGCCTTTCCTTCTGCAATTAGATGTGTTGAAAAACCGAATGTTTATTTATATGGCACAAAGAGGGTGATTTTTAGTCCCTGCTTATATCCCTATCTAGATATCTTTAAACTATGTTTAAAGTTTCTAATCACTTCTCATTGATAAAACAACTCCAACCTGGGGATACAACCATGGAAACAATTTAGATAAAATTATAAACTTTCTAAAAAAATTCCCACATTTTAAAACTTTTAGATTAGTTTTAAATCCCTGTGAAGCAGGTCATAACAAGCAGAGTATCAACAGATACAACCCAAAGAAGGGGTTAACTCTGCAGAATATAGCCAGTGTTCCTTTCAGACTGTGATACCTCCTCATTTTTCTTGGCTGCATAGGTATGGAGCAGAATATTGAGCAGGATGCGGCTCGATCATCAGCTGATTTGCGGATACGGAAGTCCCAGGTGAGTGGAGCTCCATGGTGGTTCCAACCACCAAATTAAGCACTGAAACCCACCTTTAATTAAAAGGGAAGTAAAGTGACAATTTAAACGTAGCAGGTGAATTACTAGATACAAAATACTTTTTAATTTTGAAGGACTGCGGGATTGGAGCTGTTTTTAATGCTTTGACAAAAATGTGATAATTTTAAATACCTGGAAAATAATTTTGGGGAACAAATAGAAGTAATGGGTTTTTCATGTTTTTCAAAATAAAAGGAAAAGGAAAAAATAAATTAGCTAGAAGATACAGTATTTAGTAACTATTTTAGACACAAATTAAGGCATATTTAAATTGTCATTTACAAAAAAACCCCCAAAACAAAACAAAGGCTGTAGATTTTATTTGAAATGGAATGAAAGCCAGGGTCTTTGAAGCATGACTTATTTTTCTTATCACCAGCATTCAGTTCTTTCCCGAAAATTTGTGGAGGTGATGACTAAATACAATGAGGCACAGGTTGACTTCCGGGAACGGAGTAAAGGGAGAATCCAACGGCAGCTTGAGATCAGTAAGGCTTTTTCTGTTTCCCTTAGATATCACCTGAGTAATGTAGGATCTTGAAAGATTGGAAGAGAAATGATTCTGCCTTGTTTTTAAAAATGGAACTCTTCTGATAGAGGCATAACACGGACTTGGGATCTTCTAGAATCTTGTTGTTGAACTCTCCTTATGATGTTTCCATTCATGGGAGTCGAAATACATCCCATTTGCTCTCCAAGTTGAGAAAATGGCTCTGCGCCATTTATTTGATATTGGTCCTTCATCTGTCATGACATTTGAATGGCACTGAATTTTGATACTCATTTCAATATGTCTGGACAGGTATCAGCAAGAGAATGCCATGCAAACTTCATCTCAGTACTTAAATTAGTTACCTCCATGCTTAGCTGCTGATTTTTGAAAACCAGTTGGCCATTACTCCCATTTTAAACCTACTCTACCCTTTTGGGCCTTAAGCAGTAAGAATAGCTTTAAAATGAAAATTGAAATCCTCAAGATGTTGACTTGTTAGTATCAGTATATTATGTAAACCAGGAAAGTGGATAGATTCAGTTATAGTACCAACAGGTGCACAACTGGAAGACTGAAGGTCCGGGTTAAGGACAGATCATTATGGAGAGAAGCTATGGGGCTTTGTCTTTAGTGCATTTATTTTTAGATTCCTGCTCCTTTTTTGCATCATACAATCTAACATTTCCTGAAAATCATTTGGGTTTGTAACCCAAACGATGGCAGCACGTACAGGGAGTCCTCAATTTATAACCATTCTTTTGGTGACCATTTGAAGCTACAATGGCATTGAAAAAATGACTTATGATTGGTCCTCTCATTTACAACCGTTGCATCATTTTATTTATTTATTTATTTATTAAATTTCTACGACACTGATCTTCCCTGGAGGGGACTCTGGGTGGCTATCATCATTCCACTGTCACGTAATTAAAATTTGGGTGCGTGGCATGTATTTATGATGGTTGCAACATCCCAAGATCACATGATTGCCATCTGCAACCTTCCCAGCTGGCTTCCGACGAGCAAAGATAATGGGGGAAGCCAGATTCACATAATGAAAACATACAAAACATACTTAACTGCAGTGATTCACTTATCAGCCATGACAAAAAAGGTCATAAAATAAAGTGCAATTCACTTAACGATCACCTTGCTTAGCAATGGAAATTCTGAGTCCCGATGGTGATTGTAATTTGAGGCCTACCTGTACATAGTAATGTACATCTCCATTCATGCTCTCAACCAAGACACCTCTTGACAGCATCAAAAATATTCACCCATAAAGACATTAAATTAACTAGGTGACAGCACACATTCTTGGCTGTCTTCTTGCTCAGTGCTGAACCATTTGCCAAGCCCTCTGTATATTTTCATATGTGCTTTATTTTCATCACATATATCCTTCTGCATTCATTTACCAATCTTCCATTCTGTTTACACAAAATGCGCTTTCATTGAAACTTGTGTGTTTTCTCTAAACTACCAAATGTATGATAATCACATTATTCCTCATATTAAAAATAATATTTTACCCAATTTTCTTTTTTTTTTATTATTTTCATTTTATACACTTCGGATATGCTTTTATGGAACAACAAATTACAGCAGAATAATGACTGTTTATATGTCATTAGTGCAGTTAAGCATTATATTTCCTCCTGCCTATTGTGTATTAATTCTTACAATGGGCATGAACATGTTCATTCATAGTATAACAGTTGACATTCTGGTTTTCTCTCTTTTCCTTGGGATACAGCTGGAAAAAATACAACAGATGAAGAACTAGAGGAAATGTTAGAGAGTGGAAATCCATCAATATTCACCTCTGGGGTAAGTGTGTATGTGAAGCAGGCTGGGGGCAGGGGGGATGTTCATAAGAAAGAACTTTATGATCCTAAATGCCAGGAAATGCTGGTGGTTTGCAAGAAGGATGGTTTGGGGTTCCCCCCCCCCCCTAATGGTGTTGAGTGTTATTGATTGTAGCCATAGAAGAATGAATGAGTTGGATGGGAAGTGAAAGTGAAAAATATATATACAGGTAGTCCTCGACTTACAACAGTTCATCTAATGCAGGCATGTCAAACTGCCAGCCTGTGGGCCGGATGCGTCACTCCGAAACCGTGCCCACCCCATTGCCGGCAATGGGGAAAAAGTCGCGATACGTCGCGCAACATCACGTGACATTGCGAGTTTGACATGCCTGCTCTAGTGGCTGAAAATAGTGACACAGGACTGTTTTCCACATTTACGACCATTGCAGCATCCCCATGATCACCTGATCAAAATTCAGATGCTTGGCAACTGACTCGTGTTTATGATGGTTGCAGTGTCCTGAGATCATGAGAGCATCTTTTGCGACGATCGGACAAACAAAGTCAGTGGGTAAACCAGACTCACTTAACAACCGTGTTACTAAGTTAACAATTGCAATGATTCACTTAACAACTGTGACAAGAAAGGTCCTAAAATGGGTCAAAACTCACTTAACAAATGTCTCACTTAGCAACATAAATTTTGGGAACAATTGTGGTTTAAGTTGAGGACCACCTGTATATCTCAGAAGGAAGAAGCTAAACAGGGACAAAAGAAAGTATATGCTGAATATTGTTCAGGATCATTGCAGAAAAGGCATTTCTTCCATGCAATGGTCTCTGGATCTTCCCTAGATCATGGATTCCCAGATCTCGAAGCAAGCGCTGAGTGAAATTGAGGGACGACATAAAGACATTCTGCGACTTGAGAATAGCATCAAGGAGCTTCATGACATGTTTGTGGACATTGCCATGCTGGTAGAAAATCAGGTAACTGAACCTTGGTGGAAGGATGCTGGAAAAATAACCAAGAAAATTAAAAGAGCCCCTGTTTCAGAAAAAATAACATCTTAGGGGACTGAAATGATAGATCCTTGCAAAGAAACGGGAAAGGGAGAGGACAACGAGTACATTTCCTATAAGTCCACCTCAAGATCTTGTCATATTGCCAGTGCTCCAGATCTGTCATTTTCTTTGCTGCTTGGAAAAACAAAACAAAAAAATTCAACTGGCATTATCATTTCCAGATGAAGCAAAATATGAATATAAAAAGCAATGTGTGTTCCCCAAATAAGGCTAAGGCTTTTTATAATACTCTAGGGGCTTGGGAAGAAAGAGGCATTCAATGGCACTGTTAACATAAAATAAGGGAGGGCTTAAGCATGGGATACTGAAATCCAAAACAGACTGTTCAGAATATAAGGAATTAAGAAGGTATACAGTGGGGGTAATGTTAGTCTAAGCCTGGGAGACCTGCTTCAGTTACTCAGCCACCGAAGCCCATTAGTAATTTGGGGCTAGTCATTATCTCTCAGTCTCACCCAATTTCTCAATCTTGGCCACTTTAAGCAACATGCTGGGTAGGGAACTCTGTAAATTAAAGTCTACATACTGTAAAGTTCCCAAGGCTGAGAAACACTGGCCTAATTCATTATACATGGGGTTACGGGGATAAAAGAGAAGAAGTTACTCATTCCTGAAGTTCTAGACAAAAACTGGGGCATAAATTGACTGAAAAAAGAAATAGCTTGAAATTGAGTGAATAGATGGCAAAATAATAGATAAGATCCAATTAAGGTAAGTTTAAGTATGCTTTTGGAATCATATAATTCTAATTAACACTCCAACACTGGAAGTGTTTAAGAAAAGATTGGACAGCCATTTGTATAGGGTTTCCTGCCTGAGCAGGGGGTTGGACTAGAAGGCCTCCAAGGTCCCTTCCAACTCTTGTTATTCTGTTAATTACAGCTGAAAAGACACTAGAGAAGGCAAATTTAAAACTTGAATACTTTCCATTTTAATATGACAGAACAGATCCTCTTGAATTTATTTAAGCAGGGCTTTGAATGTTAAAGCTGATACTATAAAAGTTTATGGCTTATTGATGTGCATGATGATTGTTTGGCTGTGCATATACTATATAATGGGAGACTAGAAACATAGCTGAGATAACTTGTGTATCAGAGGTAAGATTTATCTACACTTTTGCTTGCTGCATTGCACTATTCCATCTATAGTTTGATTTTTTTTCAAAAGGCCCTTTCCTATTTCACATGATGATGATGATGATGACTAATATAATCCTTGTTAGAATCAGTTATGGGTGAGAAGAAGTCTGCTTAATAGTATTTAGACTTTGATGCCAGTCTTTAAGGGTCTTTTCTTGTTTTTTGCTCACAATGCATTGCTGAGGAGATGGCAATCAAGTCAGTTTATGGTGAGTATATTTTTAGACCATGAACCTAGTTTGGGAGGGAGGCAGAGAATGTAAGAGAATTTATGCTTGATTATTGTGGCTGAAAGTCCTTGGATCTGAAACAAATTCTTACTCAGAGAGGCACCTCGCTAAGATGAAGAATTGGCATTTGGGGAGAGAGAGAGCATAGCTCTGCTATGAAAGGATGGCTGGATGAGAAAGAAATTCAAGAGAGACAGGATGTTTGGGAAGCTGTGGGTAACATTTGCAGTCCTTCTCCACAAAACTTTCTAGCATGTTCACATTCCTTCTCTTTCCCTTTTTAAAATTTCACAGGGTGAAATTGTAGATAATATAGAACTCAACATGATGCACACCATGGACCACATAGAGAAAGCACGTGAGGAAACCAAGAAGGCTTTAAAATATAAGAGTAAGGCACGCAAGGTGAGCCTCTCCTATAGATCTCCAGCTTGGCGCTCTCAGCCATGTTGCCAGTTTACACTTTTTGCTTCTGCCTCTTTCTTTGGCTTCTGCCATCTTCTTCCTCTTCAAGGGAGCCATGATTGACCGCATAGAGAGCAATATGGACCAGTCAGTAGGCTTTGTGGAGAGGGCTGTTGCTGACACCAAAAAGGCTGTAAAATTTCAGAGTGAAGCACGAAGGGTGAGAAGAATTACAGGAACCCAGCCCCATTTCTCCTGCTTTAGACCCTAGTCCCAGTGTTTATTGAACAGCAGATGTCTTTCTGTCAGCTTTGTGTTTTTAGATTCAGACCCATTTTTTTGTTCCTGCTCTTTCTGTTCCTCAGCCTACCCTGCAGCCACTTCAAAACCCATCCATGTTGTCAATAAATGTTATTATTTTGCTAAGCACTGCTTTGTTTCATGAGTGGTCATCTTATGTTCCTTCCCTTCAACATGAAGAAGATCTCTTCTTTCACAGCTCTTTTTAAAACATTTTAAATGTCTTTGAAGTGTGTGAGGCTTGAACTTCTCTCAAGCACTACTCCGAATATCTTCTACTTCTGCTTTAAGTTGTCTTTCCATTCTGTTATTGTGGTTTATGTGAAGGCTTATCCCTGCTAATTTTGGTAAACTATACAGAGGGTATAGCACAGTGGTGGCGAACCTATGGCACAAGTGCCAGAGGCGGCACTCAGAGCCCTCTGTGGGCACGCGCACCGTCGCCCCAGTCCTAGGCCTTCAGCTGGGTTTTATAAAACCTTTTCACTTTAGGCCTCCGCCGCCATGTGCAAAAAAAAAAAAAAAAAAAAAGTTCAATCAGTCCATTTCAACTTCTGGGAAAAAAAAAGATCTTGCAAAGTTGGAATTGATTGAACTTTTTAGTCCCACCCAGTCTGCCGTTACTACCGCAGCCACGCCCAGCCAATGGGCCACGCCCAGCCAATGGGCCACACCCACCCGGCACCCGACGATGCATAAGTGGATTTTGGGTTGCAGTTTGGGCACTCGGTCTCTAAAAGGTTCACCATCACTGGTATAGCACATGACTGTCGAAAATCCAACTTTTAGTAAAATTCTCCCTCAACTTTAATAATATATGGTAGGCAGAGGTTCAGTCACCTAAGAGTGCTTTTGACTTGGGAGTCGGTAAGTAGAATATATTGCAATTGGTAAAGGATGAGGTCTGCTTAGTTGTAAATGGCAAGGAGAACTAGTTTGCTTCTACTGTAGTTTTCGCTTCCTGCTGTAAGAAAGCCAGAAACTGAAAATACGTAGTTGAAACCCATTGTTCAGTGTAGTGTCACAGAACAGTGTGTCACTTTATTTCAATTTTTATGGCTGCTTCTCTCAAAAACATGGTTCTGAAAGGCTTGTGATAAATAAAAAAACTATGTTAAAGAACAAAATGTTTTCATGATGAAAAAATTAGCTGGTTTGGGGGATGTGGCACAAGAAAGCCTGAGAATTACAGCTTTTTGCATTTACCGTGCAGTGTATGACCTAAATTAAGACTGAAATTTATGTCTTACCAGGATCTGCTAGTACTTTTATATATAGAAAGAACATTAAAGCAGATTTGTAAAAATGAACTTGGAAAAATGAAACTCTAAATTGACAATTACAGGCACTCTGCTGGCTGAGGAAAGGATCTTCATTATGGCTTTGGCAGTTGGCTAAAGAAATAATCCACATTGGGTTATTGGTTACAAGGCTGTGAAGAGCATTGAGTTCTAAGGAAAATGGGAGTTTAGGAGCACACATAAGCATGCAAGTAGCACCTGTGGGTGACTCTTTAAATGATCCCAAGAAACTCAACTGCTTTAAGGAACTGATGAATGGTGCACAACCATATGCACACCAGAGCATCTTTTTTCTTTTGATTCCAAAGTCCTACTTTAATTAACAGCACATCTCTGATTCAGATGTTCAGGTTTGGATTGCAAATCCCATTTTAAATGCAGACTGGATCTGTATTATATTGTATCCTTGGCTATGTGTTTGCGTGTCTGCATGTAATATCTAAGGCAAACTTTGTATTGAAACAAGGACCATATATCTTACAAGTAGCCCTGTCTTATCACTCTTTACAAACAAGATGAGGGCATAGAGATTATGGTTCCTGTAATCCTTTCCCACAGTTTAATAATAGTGTTGCTCTGGGCCACAGGACCAGGAAGAAGGGGAGACTCAGAACTGAGCTGTCAGCAATGTTCCTAGACATTGCCCAGCTGCTTCTCCCATTAGAGAATATTAGGGATTTTTTTCTGGAATATTTTTCTCAGCAGGTCCTGGCCAGATCCAGCCTATTTTTAGAAACTTTATCTGGTTTCTCTCCCCATATCAAATTTGATCCCAATCTGTTCAATTTTCAGAATTATCCTGCTGACAGAGTCCAGCATCTATTTACACTAATTCTTCCCAAAATTCTACTGGATTGGAAAAATAATTCAATTTAGAACTTTTAGTCTGCTTTACTAATATAAACAGAAGCCACCAAGTCCAAATGAAGCCTCCATCCTGTTCCCTGTCACCCTGATCTTTCTGAACCCAGCCTAAGAATTTAAAATAAAATCAGTCTTATACACCAGGGATTGTCTTCTGGTTGGCTCTGATAATCCAATCTATTCTAAAAACTGAATAGTTGGATGGAGGTTTCTAAAGCCAATGTCACTATTTGTTCATTTGCACATTTTCACTTATCACAATGTACTGTAACTTAACCTTTGAACTTTTATTTACATGATTACTTGCTTCTGTTGAATAGAACTGAGTGTGTATACATTTGGCAACATAGTCAGTGGTGATTGGATCATTTGTTGATTATGCATATAGATTATCAATTCCACTAAATCATAGAATTTGCAAGCATCAGTCCTGTAATGGTATATGGAAATGACTTGAGAGACAGGAGCAAAATCCACAGCAAGGGGAACTGTTGGATAAAAGGCAGCCTCGCCTGTAGAAGAAATGGAGACGTGGTAAACATCTCAGAAGGGACACTTTCTACTTTTTTGGGCTGTAATGCTATTCATCCAATTTGCTCAAAACTTTCTTCCCATTTGTTGGCACACTGTGGTTAAATATTCCTTTTTTTTTCACCCTTCTAGAAAACAATAATTATCATTGTGATAATAGTAGTCTTGCTGGGAATTTTAGCTCTCATTATTGGACTTTCAGTCGGACTGAAATAAAAGTAACCAACTGGGTTTCTGGCACTGAATCGTAAGTAGCCTGGGAAGTTGAATTATTCTTTCAGTTCTTGACTGCTTTTTCAGGATTACTTTAATCTGTCATTGTCAGCGAAGATTTTTAATGTTTTCCTCTCAGTCTGAAGATCATAATACTTGGGGTCAGGGTTGATTGGTTTGTTTACTCACAGTACCCAAATGTACCTTTGGTTTATAAAAAGAACTGCATATAATCCAATATGGGTCTTTCCACAATGTGTGGGACAAGGGTGTCCAATTTGCAATTTTACATATGCTTCTGAATTTTGGCTTCCAAGCACTGGAAAGTAGTAGAAAAGAATGACCAGCTTCATGTATCAAACTAAGCCACAATATTATTTATGTGGTTTCGGCTTTGTACCACATGCCCTCTCTGCCATTGTTCTTTTAACAAATAATGTTATAACATCATTATACATGAACTAGGTCACCATGGCTTGGTCAACTACTCTTAAAATAAACCTTGCAAATGTTTGATAATCTGGAGAAGTTTGAGTTTTCCTCAAATATGATGTATACTTCCTGAATAGGCATCTATTGTATATTCCTTCACAGAAATAAATTGTATTTGAGAATGGCATTAACAGTACTGCTTGGTCCTCTGGTAAAATTACAAGGGTAGAAATTGGTTGATTTTTTATGTTTGGTTAATCTGTGAAATTTTCCCATGATAATATAGGTCCCTGATAATATATCAGCTGTTTTTTCCCATATTAGTCCCATCACTTCCCCTCACCATTGTTCTTTGAGCACCTCACTCAGAGTGTAACTTTTTGTTATACCTCAAAGATGATGGTTTTCTCTAGTATCTCCCATTGCCTTTTTGTAGATTAAAGCTTAAGGGCAAATAAGGAAGGCCATTTTGGGAAAAAAATAGAATTTTAACTCATTAAGCATACTGAAAGTTAGGTAAGGGGATGATTCCCATCATGGTCTACCATCCTATAGGAGTTTCATATATTGATATATGACTACAATAAAGTGGGCTGCTCTTTCCTTTTTGAGGCCTAACTTTTCCCATTTTGTTCCTTTCCATCTTCCAGACATTCCCAAGCTCCTTCTAAGTCAGTAGCAAGATTTCCCTTCTTGAACTTCAATGCCATGGTTTGTGCTTTCCTTCCCTACCTTGCTTGGATGAAGTATGAATGGTGCTCTTGAGTGCATTTGCACCCGGGCTTCCTGTGAGAGCCAGACTGTTCCAGTTCCAGTGCCTGAAGACCCTAATGTACCTTCCTGCAGCCAGAAAATCCAGAAATCTCATGGCATTCCAGAGAGAAGTTCTTGTCTGATCTGCTCCTTATCCATTCCTCCTTTCCTTCCTGATTTACCTGCTGGCTTCAACTGAAGGATTTCTTGTGGAATGATCAACAACACAGTGGAAATGAACCTTAAAGGAATTTGGGGAGCCTTATTGCCTACCTCACTGCTGTAATTTAACCCTTTCAAAAATATTGTACAGATTATTGGAGATGTCAGACTATTACTTTCAAAAAAATCCATGTTAGAACTAAGACTTAAACCACTAAGTAACTCCTAATCTTTACCCCATTTTATACTCCACAGGCTGGAGCAGATTTTGTATTTTTTTACACAAAACATGAAATGATAGCCCAGAGGGAGTCCTTCGATTCACATCAAGTGAGGAAAGGAACACTTAAGGGTAGCTATGAACATGAGTCTGCAGTCAGTTAAACCATTCTTGGAAGACGCAACAGATTTAAGCAAACAAACAAAATTCAGGCACTCCAGAATCGCCAAGGTGTTCAGTCCATGTTTTAAATCAGGCCAATATCTGTGTTTTGCATTAGAGGTGAACTATTAGCACTCGCACCCTTGAAATCTGAGTTGCTTGTGTTTTATTAACTACTCAGCTCAAATGTTTTGGTATAGCCACGGATATTTCATATTTTGGGAACTTAGAACTGATCTGAGTAAGAAGGAAGACCTGTCTTCAAATACTCATTAACAAAGACACTCCTTGGGATATGTATTACTTCATACTGGATAGCTCCTTTCACTTGTGGAATGCAATTATATTTCGGAGATGTTGTAAGTAGTGGTGTATGCAAAGTATTTTGAGTTTGAAATAATCCAGTTTTGAGTGGTTGCTCTGAGTGCACTAAAATTGTTTGACCTTGGAACCAAAAATGAATATGTCACCTTGAGGTAGGACCACTTCCAGTACACTTGAAAGAATCCATTTTAACCCAACATGTTTTTGTACAGCTCTATTAGCAAAGTTTAATTTTCTTCAAATCAAATACTGAAGGCACAATTATACCTCCTCTCTTTTTCTGATATATATAATTGTGTTTATGGTCTATCTGTCTGAGGACATGAAGATTAGGGAAATTGTGTCTGTGTGTGTGTGTGTGTGGAAGGGTTCTTTCTGTTTTAATATTTTAAATTTTGTACTGAAGGTTTCTGGTTGATAAATGTTGCACCCATCACTGAACTTGCTATTTATAACCTGACCATGGTTGGTAGGGCAGAAAAACTGGTCTGGATAAAAACATTGGGTTTAGTTGATGTGGCATGGCAGCTGAGACCCATGTCTAATGTCTAATCTCGATATAAAAATATTTTATATTTTTATGCTTGGTAAAACCCTTCTGTTTTGTTAAAGATGAAAGAGAAAGAGGCTTTCTTTTATGAATACTGTTATAGCATTAATGTTTTTTCTGACAGAAATTCCCATTAATTTTTTAAATCTTTGTTTTTGTATATGAGAACATTTTGCTGTGATTAAAACTTCTGTGCCCTTTGACCTGCTCAAAAGCACCTGTTCCACTCTTACGGTGGTATCACTCATGGAAATGGAAAGGTTTGTGTATTGCTTAAAAATGTGTGAATTTTTTTAGTTGAGAGGGTACATTTTTGTTTATTTAGAGAAGCTAGTTATATCATCAGAAGAGTGCCAGGTTTTTCCCTGGGGGAAAAGTTAACACAATCGTTGTTGTCTTCAAAATCAGTATATTTGCTGGATGGAAATCTACCTCAGAGTCTGAATCAACCAGATTCTCTGCTTACACCTGATTTTTTTATGTGAGGCTGTAGATGACTCATTTTTATGGCAGATTTGGGGAGTCTGGCAGTAGTGTTTTATGCAGATTTAGAGATCAGCAGCATATTCAAATTCTATAGAGATCATTTGCTTTCTAATTAAGTACATGAGACATAATAGTCCTTTGATTGGAACCGAAGAGAAAGTGATTCCCATTTTGTCTGGGAAGATTAGTAGACTACCTACTAATTCCTAGCAAAATCTATCAATTTCTCCACCAGTTCCACCGTTTAGGTCCTAGTTTGTCCAGCCATGGTGGGTAGATAATGTATATAACATTATTTTAAGGGTACACCGACGGAGCTAAGAAAGCGTGGTGGTCTCTCTTGGCTTTGATGCCTGTGACTTGCAAACGGGGGTGGCAGCGAAAGGACCATTTATGAAAGCTATCTGTAAAGATGGGAAACTGCACTTCAACATACTAAGCTGCCTATGGACAGCGGAGATTCTAGGAAATTGTTTTTTGATGAAACGTTTTAAAGAAATGAATAAATGAATTATTGGAACATCGGTCTGTAATTTTTGTGTCTGTCCACTGAACTCCTGAAGCAGTGGGTATCACCATACAATTAATTTTGAGGAACATGTGCTTCTTTTGGCCTGTATCCTGTTTGCCATATGGTTGCAGCGTCTGTAGGAAGGTGTGGTAAGAATGACTGTATGAACACAGAGGTATTCCCCTTATGTATTTTTAGGATACCAACCTGAGCTGAATATTTTCCTCTCATTGCCAGTAATTATAGAGAGATGCCCTGGTAAATGAATCCACGACTAGAAGTGATGTTTTGGATAGTGCCCTTTCCATCTAAAGCAGAGGTCCCCAACCTTTTGACACCAGGGACCGGTTCTGTGGAGAGAGGTTTTTCTGCGGACTGGGTGTGTGTGTGGTTTCATGTACTGCCTGCGTCACGTGGATGGGGCTTTGTTTGTGTGGACCGGTTTCTGGCATGCCACAGCCCAGTGCCAGTCCACGGACCGGGGGTTGGAGACCCCTGATCTAAAGCAACTTTGGATTGTACAAGTCCCAACATGAACTGGACCCAACAGTGTTATATAAAAAAAGCTTGGGGAGACCAAAACTCAGTGAAGAAAATTTTGCAATATAATCTGGGTCTGTGAAAGAATAGCTTGTATCTTCTTCAACTTCTCCATGTTGTCTCTCAACCTTCCTATTGTATAGTCTAAAATCACACTATTACGGGTAATCCTTTACTTACAACCATTTGTTTAGTGACTGGTCAAAGTTACAACGGCACTGAAGAAAGTGACTTACAACCAGTCTTCGCACTTACGATCATCGCAGCATGCTCACAATCACACGATGAAAATTCAGATGCTTGTCAACTGGCATGTTGTTTACGACAGTTATAGCGTCCCAGGATCACACGACCACCCTTTGTGACCTTCCCAGAGAGGCGCTGGCAAGCGAATCCAGTGGGGAAAACTGGATTCACTTAACAAATACATGATTCACTTAACAACTGCAATGATTTGCTTGACAACCGTGGGGGAAAAAGGTTGTAAATGTGACCCACTTCCATTGTTTAACAATGGAAATTCTGGTCCCAATTGTGGCTGTAAGTTGAAGACTACCTGTACTATGTGACTCATATAAAATAAGCCCTGTTCTCCCTCCAATTCTATCACCGCCCTGTTTATTAATATATCTGGGTATTTTTTCCTCTTGCTGAGCAGAAGAAGATAATGATTATGTTGTGCTGCATCATTCTCATCATTATCCTGGCTTCTACTGTTGGGAGCTTCTTTCTGTGAACACTCCTTCCTTGTTCTTTGCCATTTGTCTCAGGTAAGTTGTATGCAAATACAGAAGCTTAGTGCTATCATCTTAAGCAGGGCAATTCGGATCCTCCAAATTGGGCTTGTGTTAGGCTGTATTTCTATTTTCCACCTAGACTATTACGTGCCTAGTTGTGGTGAAAATGCTTCACCTGATACTTCTCTGCAATAAATAATTGTTTACAGAAAAACAGACATCTACATCTAAGTTTGTGCAATCTAGGCAAGTGGGGTTAAATATCATATTCCTAAACCGAATTAAGTGAAAAGATAAAAGATACTCTAATTAACAGGAGGGAAACTCTTTGCATATTAGGGTAGTTAACTTCCAGGATCTTTATTGGGTAATATGTTCAAACACTACTTACGATCTCTGTATCTACTGCAATGCTCTCTACATGGGGCTTCCCTTGAGGAGCACCCGGAGGCTCCAGCTAGTTCAAAATGCGGCCGCGCGGGCGGTGTTGGGAGGGACCCGTCGCTCCCACGTCACGCCGCTCTTGCGCGAGCTGCATTGGCTGCCGGTAGCCTTCCGGGTGCGCTTCAAGGTGTTGACTATTATCTTTAAAGCGCTCCATGGCATCGGACCTGGTTATCTTCGAGACCGCCTCCTGCCACAGATTACCCCCCACCGACCTGTACGCTCTCACAGAGTGGGTCTCCTCAGGGTGCCGTCAGCCAGACAGTGCCGGCTGGCGA